AGCAATCCACTCGTCTTGTTTCCATGCGAGAAGGCGGTGGTGTCTCATTTTGTCATGAACTCTGTGAAAAGCGACAAAACTGGAAGCATTAAAATTGAGAGCGATAGCTCTAATAAAAAGGTCTGTGATCAATTTTTCACAATTTGAACGACAATAGATAAAAATTTCATGCCTTTTTACTGCACCATGGTGGTAATGTGATTCAGTAACTTTTGAGATATTTCTGTTGTCCGGAATCCCGAGAATGAAGTGCTGACGAGTGTTCTATTTTGTAAAGAATAATCAGTAAGGAGTAAATGTATAGAAAGGACAATAAGGATAAAGCTCTCCACTTTGACCAATCTCTGAGGGATGCGCTATGCTTTCGGCTTCGTTAACTATCGGTGGAGGTGATCGAATGCATATCTGGCCTTTAAGCGATGGCCTACTGATGTATCAAGCCACTGCTGTTATAGTCCCAGACAAGTCTGGTACCAATTTGCCGATCCCGGTGAGATGGAAGGCTTGGTGGGACATGGGCGCTGGGACCAATTCCACGTGTGTGTCGCAGGGCGGCTCCCACCACTGCGCCACATGCGCCCTAAGTAGGCGTATAGTGTCTACAAATTACATTTACCCAGTTATTTCTTACTAATTAAAGCCTTTGCAGTTGATACAAACTTTAAGAAGTGGGTATCTTTAGATTGTAAATGATTTCTTATGACTTTTAGGATAATGAGGAGATTTCCTTGGAGCCCAGTCGTCAAAGTACTCGACCACAGCCAAGTAATAAGGTCGGTTTGACTGAAGAAGAGCTCGAGCCATATAGAGACCACCCTCAATGGAAGTTTGCCAGGTTCAAGCTCTCTTCTGTTGTCTTTGATTTACTCCTTTTTTCTTGAGCTCGGCCTTTTCTGGTGTCAAAATGACACGTTCATAGATCAGAGATATCCGCTATGGTTTAGTTTTGAACCACTCATGAGAACATCTGTTCACCGCTGAGTAAGCAGATTTTTGCAAACAGTTCACATGTTTTTGCAAAGGATTAGTCCGGTTTCAACTATGTGACGGCATAGTGTGTAGAAAAGTCGCCTTAATGTTCTCTTACTATCTTAGTTCTTAACGATGAAAGTTCAATCACTTAATCGGAAACTTGGGTGTGTGCCAGTAATGTCCGTATTTTTCTCTGCACTTATCCAGTGAGATCTACTAGCTCGGAATCCTATGAAACCTTTGCTTTTACTGTTTTTGCGAGACGGTGGCCCAAGCTCGGCCTACCGCGCTGTGTGGAATAGGTATATGTTTGGCTGGCATGGCAAACCCTTCAGGGTGAACTTGAGACTGTGAAATTTTTTTGTACGTGACCACATGCTGCCTTTCATATAAGTTCTTCCAAAAGTACATTTCTTCTTTTTCACCAAAATTCATCCAACAAGTACTTCTCTCGAAGTAAAATTGTTCAGTGGTGTGTGATCCGTCTTCTTCTATAACATTCTGTGCAGTCTTTCCATAGCTTTTCTTCACAAAAGTTTCTGGTGTGCCTGAAATTAATGGGACTGTCAATCGTTTCTCTTTCCTTTCAGAAAATAGAAGAGCACGATATTTCGAAAACACTATTTTCTTCTGTCTTAAAAACTTCATTAAATGAACAACATCGTACTAATCGCCTTCTTTATTTTTCCTTTTTTTATTGTCAATTGACATAGAGAATCTTTATGCTTGAACTTGGTAACAGGTCAAATTAGTAACATACAACTCTCTCAAGCGGTAAGAAAAGGACGAGTTTTGCAAGACCCATAACCTTTTGCTCGCCTAATTATAGGTTTTTGGTCGAATTGACATGCGAACATAATTCACATACTCACACTGTCACGCATGGATGGAGATGATTGCATGTATGTGGAAGGCATAGGTTAATTTGAATGTTGGAGAGACAAGGTGTTCGTTTTAATACAACCGTATATTCGTTCTCGGACGAGTTTGATCTCTGACCTCACCTACTAGCCCTGTACCGTCGCAACTAGTAGGATCTGCAGACGCCTCATGTGAAGTGAATTCGTGGCAATGAATACTGTTTTAGATGCTTGGAGGAGAAGACGTATCTCAGCTGAAAGTGAACTATATTGTTTGAAATAGAGTGCGTTTAGTGCAGTGGTTAAAGGTATCTTGTGGCGCAGACTTTTCTGTAGGCTAAATCCCAAGATCCGCTCAAACAAAGCAGTCGTCCACCTGGGCTCGGTATATTGGTGCTGGGCCTACCTAAGAGATTTGAATCGAATACACCGCGCATCTGTAAAGGATTTATCAACGCTGAAAGCTTTGTTATTTGTCATTTTATTTCAAATAGGAACCGTGGAATCTAGCCACATGTGTAGAAATGTGTTTATTTTATTATAATAAAATTTCGTGGTCCTAAAGTCGATGACTTTTCTGAGGGAACATTCTGCAACGATTTGTTTACCTGAGGTTTTAGCAGGACCCAGTTGTCTAGGTGCTTAAGAAGCGGCAATCAGTTGTGAGGTTTCCGGTCAGTAATTGCGTGAAACGGCTTCTTTAGTGATTGTGTCTCTAATGTGGGTTTACGTCTAGTGAATATACCTTACGTTTCATCTCCATTCAGCTTTGTTCAGAACGTCGTCTGTTATCAAAAAGAATCTATTTCTAATGGCACAGCAGAATACGATTAAGGAGTCGTCTTTTTATGTAAGAGCGACTCAGAACTGAGTTTATGACGACGATCTCCTTGCTTTCTTGTTTATACGAATGCTCTTTCTAAGGGAAATAAAGAAGTAGGCGATATTTGAAATTACTAATAGATCGGAAATTTTGTTTTTATTTGACTGTTAAGTCATCTGTTACCATCTGTTGTCATTTGACTGTTAAGGTCCTAAAAAAGGTAATTAAAGATGGCGCCCGAATGCTTTAACACCTCATTGTGACTAGGGGTCAACCTGATGAATTATTATCTGGAATGGAATTTTCCACGCACCAAAAGAGCCTTCTGAACGAAGTACATCGACATGTTCTTAATCGGAGGTCCAACTAAAGAGCAAATCTGTTTCACATTAGAACCTGGCGTACTGGCCACGGCTACCTTGTCGCCAATATTAGTTATAGTAAAAGATCCTACGACGGTATAAGTGTGATACTTTTCCTATCTCTTGAGCCAAAGGTGCCCATTAACGCGAGGCGGGAACGATTAGAGGGCTTGATTGATGTCCTTCAAGTTGCCCCGATGGTGATAAATTGAGGATAAACGCCACTTTTTAAATTGCCATGGGCAAGAATGAAGCCGTGGGATGTATTTTAATTCAAGATAACAAGATAACTTGCGATTTGTTAATACCTTCTTTTTTCAATAGCTGTTAATACAGCCGCTTCTTTTATGACGTGGACGAAAACCGGCGTTAGTTCTATGCTTAATTACTCCTGTTTATGGGTATAAAAATAATATTTTACTATATTTATGGCCATTGTGCTTATTATTACTATTATTACTATTATTATTATTATTATCATTATTAATGTGTCGTTTTCTTCTTCAGCAATCGCGAGGTTTTTAAACAGCATACATTTACTTCCATAAAAGCACAATACAATACAACGCTAGCTGACGTTTCGGCAGTATCGCCTTCTTCAGAGCAGAAAGTCGTCAACCACATGCGACTATAATCAGCTGTTCTAAACTTCCTCATTGNTTGTATTGTGTTTTTATGGAAGTAAATGTATGCTGTTTAAAAACCTCGCGATTGCTGAACAAGAAAACGACACATTCATATTCCAATGCCGAGGTTAAGAGAAAGTCGATCCTGGGAACTATTATCATTATTATTATTATTATTGGAGCTCATGTATCGCAGTGATTGGAGGTGCACTGCAATATACACTGGATTGGTTAGTGGTTCGACCCAGAGCCCCGAATTCCCTAAGACCTCCATCTCTCCAGGAGTGGAGGGTTAGTGGCAGGTCGGCGCTGAAAGCCTACTTCCTTATTCATAACTATTATCCTTTGTTATTATAGCTACTATGATTATTAATTGTCTTTCTACCTATTTATTTTAAACAAAAAGTAAAAAATAATTATAACAGCAGTGATGTTGAGATATTTGCAAAAGTCCCACCCGCAGGTGTCTACGAAACCAATTGAACATGCTGTTGTCCTTTCAGGGGCTAGCGGGTTCATCACCACACCATGAGGGTTCTCCGTTTCGCTTGTCTCTCAGCTCCTTCTCTATCTACCAGTTCCATCAACAAAAATAATTATTTTTACACGACCCGTCTTTCATATCTGCTGTAACGTTCCCAGTACTTCTTCCATTCCATTCGTTTCTTGGTATCCATCTCCCACGAAGGTCTTCCAACTTTTGCATATGGGTTCGACTACTGCTTGAAGATTTTTACTTTCATTATGGACGTCGCTGAATGCTGATCTAGTCTGTTCTCCCTGTAGTCCTGGTATAGCTGGTCCACAATGACGGTGAGATATGAACAAAAGCAATTACCTTTTTCAGGGACTCACGTGTTACCCACTGCACCACCGATGCCCTTGCTTTGCTTTGTCTTTCTCTCGGCTAGTTTTTCATTTGGAAGCACACCTGGGTTTCCGAGTTTTGCTCATATCTCAGCCTCACTGTGGTTGCATTTCACTTAATAGCCCGTGGAGAATAATAGGCGTTTAATAAATGCTTTTAATAAAAAAAAACATTGTGCTTCGAACTGTTTAATTAATTTAATTAATTTGGGTAATTGTCGTTACTCTTGTTCTATTTACTGGACACAGGATCAGAAAAAATTGGAGTATTTGGCTTAATGTAGAGGTTCTGTAAAATGTATAAGCTGTTGTCTTAACATTCATTTGAGTGGTCGATAACTGCATCTGCTGAGCAGTTTCATCAAAGCAGAGTCAACCACGGCTAAAACTATCTAGGCAGATGTCCATCACTTATCAACATTTTTTGTGATGTTTTACAAAGTTATTACCAAGAGCACGTGTAGTGCAGTGGTCAGGAGCGCCCTACAGTATGCGTATGACATTTGATTTGCTCCCGAGGCCCGGTTCGCCAACCCCTCCATCGTTCTATTGTCGACAAATCGGTAGTAGACTGTGGGAGGATAGTAGCTTGATACGCATCGGTGGACTACGCCAAGACATTGTATAGACAAGATGTGCCTTCAGTCATCTTTAGCGATGCTTGGTGAAGTCGAATGCATGGTGCATCCTTCAGGGATTTGTCAATGCCAAGATTTCTATCTTTTGGTTTGTACCAGCCTAACCATCTATGACATTCGGCTCGTCATGTCACAGTTTATGTGGTTTTTTGTGCCATTCATTTCTATACACCATAATTTCATTGGAAACTAACCGCTTAGTCTGTTTATTTTTGTTCCATTTTATTTTCGACTCAGATTTTTTCATCTTTTTTCTATAAGCATTGAAAGCTTACTTATAGAACTAAGTGTTTTATAAAAACATTTTCTGAAGGTGCTATTTTTCAAGCACTTCATTTTTCATTTCCAGGCTGTTCTTCTTCGTGCTGTTTTGGATCGTTTGGATTGCACTGTTCCTCTTGTCCATCATTCTGGTTGTGTTCAGTCCAGGATGTCATGTGAAATCCAAGCCGAATTGGTGGCATACGGCTGTTACATACAGTGTCAGATTTCTATTAACTTTATCACAACACGATCTATTCAAATATCAAGGAATAGAAAAAAACAAGGATGGAACGCCCGTCGGTTTGGGCACTTGGTTTATGAATTTCCGAGTTTGTCTGGAAACGAAAACGTCTCAACGTCGCCACGAATCTTTGCTTTAATTTTTACCTAATTCATTTCTGGGTTGGTTAGGTTGAACTGCTTTTTTACACGTTTAGTTCAAAAGTCTATGCCTACGAAAGTTTTTTCTCGGAGAAACATAGCTGACAACGTTTTCACATTCCTGATTGATTTGTCTTATGCAGTCGAAGGTGCAAATGAGCACGTAGAAAATCAGCAGAAACTTTTAATTAATGTTAAGCTGATCACAACTGCCTAGCAAGTTGGTCACAATTTCCAATGATGTGGCGCCAACAGGCTTCTGTTTCAGGTATGGGTGCCTTCGTTCCAGGACTCGGACGGTGACGGGTACGGCGATATGCAAGGTCTCATAAATCGTCTAGAGAACCTGCGAAAAAGCGGTGTGCAGGTAGGTGAATCCTTTTGACTCTCACTGTTTCCACAGCAGCATGTCTTCCTTCTAGACCATATGGCCGTTACCTTTCCTAATTTCCGACGATTTCTCGAACGCAGTTCGCAGTTTTGAACAAATGGACCCGAAACTCGGACCAAATCAATTGGTTGATGAGGCCATTGCTCGCATACATGACAAAGGTATTTAAACATTTGAATGTGGAAGGCGAGTAGAATAAATTTGAACTTCCAAAATATCGAACTTTTGAAACATCGCCGCAGGCCGATCCAGTTGTGTTCTTTTGGGCATTGAAATAGTTCAAATAGAAGTTTCCATGGATTTCTCCGCAAACACCCGTAATTATTTACCTTAGAGAGTTTTTGTCAGCAGCAATTAATACCTTTCACATAGATTTTATAAAGTGAGATAGTCACAATGATGCTGAGATATTTTCAAAACTCTGGATCACAGGTGTCTGCGGTGAGGAACGAACGCGCTATTACCCTTTGCGGGGGCTAACGCGTTCACCACCACACCATGCGGGTCGTTCGTTTCCCCTGTCTCTCAGCTAGTTCTATCGATCACTACCATCAGCAATCACCCGGATTGATCTGGAGAGAGGAAGAAGTGAGACAGTTTTGGTGCACTATTAACGTCATCGGATTCCTAAACAGATCTAGTTGTTTCTCGACGTGGTTTATTCTGCTGGAGATTGACCTGTAGGGTAAATCGTAATCCTTGAATCCTAGTAACTTCCCTATTGATGCTATAAACTTTCGAGAGATGCATCAAATAAGTAGTAGTAAAAGGAGGAAGGGTGATCGGAGTACACAGAAAAAATTCAAGACTGATCGTTACAGCGCGGCGTTTTTGTTTGCTTTCTTTTAAATCGAAAAGGTATTGGGTTATCCATTGAGAAATGAATAAGTGAAGAAGGTGCTTAGTTCAAAGACACCAAAAAGACTTTGACTTAAAAAGCGGGTTAAAAATCACTTTTAGGAATGAAATTCGTCATCAGTCTGCCGATAGCGACCACTTCGGTCGAGCACGATTGGTTTCTGAAATCTGCATCGGCAGACGCTGATCCAAACAAAACCTATTCCGAAGTTAGTTCTGACATTCGTCTAACGATTGCCATTAATCTTCTTAAGCCAATTATATTGTAGTTCTATCACTGGAAAAAGCAGGCAACGACGAACAAACACTTCAGTGAACACAAAGGGTTGTTCTACATGCACGAGCCAGACAATAGCCGATCGGCCATTCTGAATTGGCAAGATTCAGCCGTTCGGTCACAGATGTTTGTAAGTGGATGTCCTTTCTCATGATCTTAGTTGTCGACACTCTGCAACAATACAAAATGTGCTCGAGTGGATTGATTAGCTACGAGATTATGCCTGTTTGATCAACACAATAAGCCCTTCGGATAGGGAACAACAGACGGGAGGGAGTGTGAGAAAAGGGATAAACAAATCGCTAGAGCGATAGTTAATGGTACTTGCACTAAATGCTACCTATAGATTCTTGCCAAGCACATTCATAAGTTGTTATCTTTTTCGACTGTTATCTGAATAATCTAGAAATCTAAACTTCAAAGGAACGAACGTTATGTTTGAAAAAGTCTTTATGAGTAGCCGAAAGGACTCAAATTTGAAATCCCTCAAAACTGGAAATTTGTATAAGCATCCTCTCCTGAGAGAGGATCTTGAGTTACCTATCGGCTGGCTCGCACAAGTCATTCGAGCTAGTGCCACCACAAGCTCCTTCAAAGGTTCCACAAGTGAGAAACTGTTTTCAAGAAGTACCACAAGGATATAGTATACAGAAACACGAGCGACAATGAGGCAATAAATAAAAAGATAAATAATTGGATTGGTATTTCCTATTAAACATTTACAGAATGTAATTTCATCGTGGATAGAACGAGGAGTGGACGGTTTCCATCTTGCTGGTACTGAATATCTTGCTCGTTCAGCTGATGGTTCTGTGCCGGTAAATCTTCCTGCAGTCGTTAACGGTTTCACTTAAGCTGTTACCTGAACTGTTTTTTCAGAACTGGTCTGCGATTGCGGACGTGATCAGTGATATCCGTAACCATGTGGACTCATTCACCAAAGAAAGTTCCAAAGCTGCTGGCAAGAAAATGTGAGACGTTTACTGCACAGTACACCAGGAGTAGCAACTCCCATTAATGAGACCCACACCGTTATGGTATTAGCTGTCAAATAAAGGGGTTATAGGCTCAGCAGTGAACTTTCCCTTATGGGTTGGCCATGTATTCTAGTAAGCATCTTATAGGTAGCTTATTGCATATTTGTTCTATGTCATAAGATGTAAGGCCTTGCATCCAAGGCGCTGAAGGACATTGAGCGCATTGCACAGAATCCAATCAGAGACCATACGGGTATTGTAGGACGCCTTAACCACTGCGATACACACTCTCCGTATTGGTACTCGTAATATGTAGCATGCTTTTCGATTTTTCCAATCATTTGAACACATTGTTCTTGCCTTTTGAGTATTTATTTTACCTAGAAAGAAACTAAACTACGTTTCTTCTTTTCAATGTTTCATCGACTGAATATAGTGCACTATTCACATCTCGAGAGGATGCCAAAGAAAAAGACAAGAAGGTGCTGGTGCATAGTGGTCTCGACTCGGTCATCAACTACGAGCTTGGTCAAATAAAGAAAAACTCTGGTGTGCTTGGTGTTTTTTGCTCGAAGTCTTTCACTTCTTGAAGGTACTGCGCAGTTATAGATGTCTGCAACAAGAATGAGGGTGTGGCCAGTTGTGTGCACGAAATTCTTTCGGACATCTTGCTCTTCCACTCCAACAACCCAACAGTCTGGCCTCAGTGGGAGGTAGGTCGGTGGAGTGTAATTACTTTCTGCATAATATATCAGGTTGATTTCAGTTCGGTAATCCGTGGCTTTCTCGAGTGGCTTCTCGTGTAGAAAGTCGTGCGCATGCGGAGCTTTTGCTCATGGTTCAACTAATACTGCCCGGTACAAACAACTTCTACTACGGCGAGGAACTCGGAATGAAGGATCTCCAGGACAGTTCTATCGTAAGGGTCCTTCAGTCCGGCTTCTTTTACTTTTCATAAAAAAGATTAAGGTTCTATACAACAACTCGGTAGTTTTCGAATAATGCTTTCGAAAAAGATGCGTTTTCATGAGCAATGAAAACGTATACTGTACGAATGTACGAAATACAGTGCCAGTTTTGCATAGACGTAAGAATGGCTCAGGTCCCTGCGCAACGTGGAGCAATGCAGTGGGACGACTCAGTTTCGGCTGGATTCTCCAGTAACTCCAAAATACCTGTGAATCCGGATTATAAGGACATTAATTGGGAGGTAATCAAGCGGTTTTCTTCTTTTTTTAGTTACTTTACCTTACTTGTTGCTTTCTTCAGCACCAGTACTCACAAGACCAGTCGTCACTGAAAGTGTTCTCGAAGCTAGGAAAACTTCGCACGAGAGACGACACGCTGATGTCAGGAGAGACGATCATCGGACGTCTGGTCGATAGCGCTTTTACTGTTGTTCGATTCTTCGCACATGAGAATAAAACAGTAGGACATGTTAGTTCACGATCACTTTTCATATAAAGAAAAGACAAGAATATTGTAGAATTACGAGGTGACACTTATGGAACTGACCGTGTTCATAAATAAGTGTGAGTAATAAATTTGATGATCCGTAGCGCAATGAGATGTATTATGCAAATTGACGAAAAAGAAAAGTGGGACATATCTCTCGTCCTGATTATAGTCCTGTAGAAATCCTCGAGTTTTTAGTAATATTATCAGTTTGCTTAAAAATCAGACTGGGTAGTTTACTCGCTTAACCTCTTTCGGACTTTTACAAGCGTCCAGTATTAGAGGTAGGTGGGAGCCATCACAAGCTAAACACCAGAGCTGAAAACATGGGCATTAGTAGTGCCTTATCGTATTCGCTTCGTTATATACCACCTCGTACCCATCTTTGCATTGGTTTCCTTTCCAGTGTGGATCTTTTTTGCAATATATTTCCATAATGGATGTTCTTTCTTTTCATTCTTTCCTACCATTTTCTCAACCCCATTTCACTTTCATTGCGTCTAGTAATTTCTGATCGAGGTCCTTATTCCTGTTCGCAGACATTTTATTTATTATGGAAAGAATTTTCCCTAAACCTCAACACTCTCTATTATAGGATTTTACTAAATTTCTTTCAGATATATATCAGTGCGGTCAATTTTGCCGCTCACAAAGTTTCTTTACCATTGGTAGACGTTCCTAAAGGAGAAAATCTAGGAAGCTGTCAGGTAGAGTTTCAAAACGATAACAATTTTTTCACTCAAGCAACTATGCGGGTGTTTCGCTTAGTTGCTAGAGGTGTGACCTAGCGTAAACATCGTGTTTGGCTCGAAACCAGGCCAAATCAAGCTCTGGATCACAGTTTCATTAAATGAACTGTCTGTTTCAGCACTTCAAAACAAGGTTCTACTAAAAAGCACTAGGAAAGGATAGAGAATAGAGTCTTTTGTGTTGATCAATCCTTTAGCGATGCAACATTCATGCGACTCTTTTAAGCAGGTATCTATGGTGGAGAACGAACGCGCTATTGTCCTTTCCGGGAAGTAACGCGTTCACCACCACACCATGCGGGTCCTTCGTTTCGCCTGTCTCTCAGCTAGTTCTATCGATCTTTTGCCATCAGCAATCACCCGTCAACGGGATTGATCGGGGAACCAACATCAGCATTGAACCCAGACTTAGTACCCTGCCGTGAAAATTGCAGTAGGCAGAAAATAAAAATGTATAACATTGTGATTTCAACTACAGCCGCAGCTTAACTGGGTTCTATGTCGATTTGGGAACGCCAGATCAATCCCGCTGACGGGTGATTGCTGCAGCAAAGATCGATAGAAATAGCTGAGAGACAGGCGAAACGAAGGACCCGCATGGTGTGGTGGTGAACGCGTTATTCCCCCGAAAGGACAATAGCGCGTTCGTTCCCCACCATAGACACCTGCGGTCCAAAGTTTTGCAAATATCTCAGCAAGGTTGTGGTTGTATTTCGCTTAGTACCCTGCCGCGAAATTATAGTAGGCAGAAAATAAAAAGGTATAACATTGTGATTTCAACTACAGCCGCAGCTTAACTGGGTTCTATGTCGATTTGGGAACGCCAGATCAATCCCGCTGACGGGTGATTGCTGCGGCAAAGATCGATAGAAATAGCTGAGAGACAGGCGAAACGAAGGACCCGCATAGTGTGGTGGTGAACGCGTTACTCCCCCGAAAGGACAATAGCGCGTAACACCACCATAGACACCAGCGGTCCAGAGTTTTGCAAATATCTCAGCAACGTTGTAATGTGGCAGCAGTTTACCGCTCAGGTGGAATGGATTCTTGGTTTAATAGGGGCGTGAAATCGAACCAAAGACCATGTGCATTGCGGAGCACCTCTAATCACTGAGCTACCTGTCCTGTATAAATACTATGAAGTGAAATACTAAATAAAAAATATTACTGAGTTTACAAATATACATTGAAGCGCGCAGCTGCGATACATATGTTGACTAATCCAGATAATCATTCAGTATTAATATTTTCTATTCTATAATATTATTCATAAGAAAAAGAGTCGTAAAAAGTAACTACTAGAAATATCTATTGGCTCCGATATATAATACATTTTTAAAGTTATTCTTTCTTTTCATTAGTGAACTGTTAGCAATTCACCGCGTTGAAGGAGATTTGATTTCTTTTTCAGATAGTCACTACCACATCAAACGTTGAAAAATACTTTCCACGACAAAGTGTGGATTTCAGCTCGAAAAGCTTGGAACTTTCCAAGGATGAAGGAATCGTGTTCAGATACCCTGCCTAAAACGTGGGGACAATTGTCCTTCAAACAATTCAATTCGTATTCAGAGCTTTATTTGAAAATAACATAAACTTTATGATGAGAGTTCTCGAATAATATTTATTACTTTCACAAGTTCACTTTTTGGAACTTCACAAACGCAACTCCTTTGGCTTTGTAGTTTGGCCGCCATTCCTTTCAAGCGATTTTACAACTGGCAGTAGTGGCAATCATGTATAAGGAATACATGGTATTTCGAAACCGACTTTCCTTGAACCTCGGTATCACTAATCAATATGTATTCTTTCTTTGATGAGTTTACACGAGGTTGATAATGATGTTTATTTTCGGCTAACGTTTCGACGTCTTCGTCTTCCTCAGAGCCGATGATCCGACTCGATGGTCCTCGCTTGTTATTCGTCTCGACGTGGCAGCTTCGCCTTCGTGTCGAGTCAGGTCTTCTTTAGTGAGCCATCTCCTCGAATGAAGCACTCTTACTCAGTGATGCCCTTTTATACAAGATGCTGATGGTGGACCGTCGACTCGGATCATCGGCTCTGAGGAAGACGAAGACGTCGAAACGTTAGCCGAAAATAAACATCATTATCAACCTCGTGTAAGCTCATCAAAGAAAGAATACATATTGATTAGTGATACCGAGGTTCAAGGAAAGTCGGTTTCGAAATATTACTACGCTTTGTGCTAGCTGATAATAACACCGACTTCTGCACGATGCGCGCGATGATTATGTCCGGAAGAAAAACAAGTTGTTATCACCGGACATTATCATTATCCACCATCAACATCGTGTATAAAAGGGCATCACTGAGTAAGAATGCCTCATTAGAGGAGATGGCTCACTGAAGAAGACCTGACTCGACACGAGGACGAAGTTGCCACGTCGAGACGAATAACAAGCGAGGACCATCGACTCGGATCATCGGCTCTGAGGAAGACGAAGACGTCGAAACGTTAGCCGAAAATAAACATCATTATTAACCTCGTGTAAGCTCATCAAAGAAAGAATACATGGTTTATTTATCCATGTGATTATTGCATAGTTAATAAGGAGAATCCACAAGAAATGCGAAAATAGCTCAGTGACTTGAGCGCCGATTTTTGGATTTCCCTGCTGAGCAGTTGGTCTGGAAGATTTTGTACTTTGAGGAGAATACGATGGAGTGGTCCATTCTCGCCCTTCGTCTCTGTTGTCAATTTGGAAGTTTTTTCTTTGGTCTTGCAATGGAAAATTCATTGTTGACTTATGAGATGGTAGATAAGCTTCTGCTGAATAACCATAAATGAAATTTGCATGACAATGACACCCGCATTCCCATCAATCCAGCACCGGAGAAAAATACTGAAATATGCATAATAAACAAAATAAAAATAAAACAAATGAAAATAGAAAGAGCAAAAATAAAAAATACTGAATTTTCCGCTGTTTGGTTGAAGTGATACATAGTTGAATGGAAACACTTGGGCAAGTCATCCCAAAATTCGATGACTGTTGATTGAGAAACATCGACAAAATCAAAAGACGGAGAGAAACGTTCAGTAAGTTTTAAGACAGCAGAAGAAGCTCGAATACTTACCATTACTGTGATGACGTTCAGTGAAGACTAAAGATAATAAATTTAGAAGCCGGCTGTAGTTAGCAAAATTCGTTGAATGCATTTGTTGAGCCGAAACACTCCACATTTGGAGCTCTTAATGCATCTGACGGCAACTAAAATGATAGTCATTTCGACAGTAAAGGAAACGACAAGAAAAAGGAAAATATGGTTGTTTCGGATTTCAATGGCCAAGAAAAATTAGAAGAAGCAATGGCGTTTTCTCACGAAATTAGGAAAGATTTTCCTTCAAGTGGTTTGAGCCTTCCTTGTTATCGATTTCCTACAGCTCTCTACTACAAAATATTTCAGAAAAAATTGTGTGCATAGGTATCAATATGTACTGCCCGTAGGGTCCGCCTCACACATATTGAAATCAGTGCGCATTTTTGCGAAGAGAGTATGATTTGAGCAATAAGAACTAGGTCACACGAATTTGTTGGAAATCATTTCTTAAGTAAACGAACGCTCTGGATAATAACTAATACTACTTGGATACTTGGATGGACCGTCTTCACTATGTATGGGCCCCAACATAATTTCTATTCTCCGGACATTTACTGGCTTTACTGGCTTACTGTGGTTCCCTGGAGTGGGCAGCCTGGGCAAAGTTTGCCCTAGGTGGTCATCGCCAAAGGCAGTGGCGGCTCTTGTGGATCAAAGAGAGATTTGATGCCATGCGATTAGTTTGATACCCGGACGGTGGTGGATCATAGTATTGGTTTATTCTTAGCAGGGCTTCCTGATGGAAATGCCGGACTCTTTCTCAGTTTGGAAACCCTGTTGGGGAATGAATTTCCCGGTGTACATCGCAGCGCAATTCCGAGGAACACTTCCCAACCACGATGAGGCGGTAAACAGTTGAGAGGATCAGCTCTTCGAAAGGCACAGGTTAGAATCCTGCGGATGACACCATAATAACAGATACGGTGTAGAATTCAAAAATTCTATAATCGAAAAAGTGAACCTGGTATAAATGGTAGCTGACTGCTGGCTGAAACGTTTTCGGTTCGGGTCCCTGCCTCCAATTATTTATGATCTCCTGAACTTATGAATTACTGTATCCTTCAGGCATATAACCTCTGAACGCGTTCAACACACCTGTAGAGTAGGAAGTCCAAGTTCTTTTCTAGATTCGAGTAACTCGTCCTCACGCTCTTGAAGCTCCCTTATCTCAGACTTGATCAACGAACTGACGCGCTTCTCCAAACGTGGACGCTTTGAAAACATGCAAAAATTACTAGTATTAAAAAATCAGAAAAGCGAAAATGTGCGAAAAGATTTTATTATAACAGACTAAAATGTCAGATTTTAAGGAATGTGGGATTTCCGAGCTTACAGTATACCCTACTTTCAAGGAAGTAGAAATAAGAAACTCACCTGCTTGGGAAAATAATTTGCACACAGCGATTCGTTGTCGATTTTATTTGCTGTATGCCATTTTTTCAAGTACAGCCTCTGCCGTAATGGCGAAGAATATTCCTGTATTAACGAGGGAAATTAGAAAGCAATTTCCAAATATGTAGATAGGAATTGGTGACAGGCACGACAGCTTGATTGAAAACGCTGAGGCACCTCTTAAATGGCTGTGTAGTTTTCTTGCCTTTAATCTTAAATTACTACCATTTTTACTTGTCAAATTATAATCCCATTTATTTTCTATTTCACTCCGTTTCTTTGTTTATTTCTGCATTTTGCAACGTCCTCTATTGGTTGGTGGACTAATCGTGGGATTCGCTGCAATGGCAGTATCGTCGTGGAAGAATTCGAGTCATAAAACAACAGATTTCACTCCGATTCGATAAAGACTGGCAACTTATCGTGACGACCTGAGAAACTCGCACACATCTCTGCGGTTTCTGGGAAATGATCGACCAGCGCTCAGCATGTAAATGGTGGGAGAAGTTCATAGACAAATTGCAGCCGAATCCAACCCGAACCGGGTCATCCTCTTGGGGCCAATAATGCAAGACAACGAAACGAATGAGATAAGAAGTGCTCAGACTTGCAGAAAAGGTACGGACGAGCTATCCAAGCATTTTTTTTTATGAACTGACATCATTTATTCTGTGGACCCATGTACATCTTCCATGACATCTTCTTCCATCTTCTTCGCATTGATAAACTACGAAGGCTTTCGGATTTGTATATGAGTTTGGCTACAGCTTGAGGATTTCTAGTCTCCTCTGTGAATGTCGTTGAGTGCCGGTCGAGTCGATTCTTTCTGGAACCTTACGACTGCCGTACCAAGGCGTTATTAACTCTTTTGGAACAGGGGACTTTAAGGCAAGTCTAGCCCAAGCTTTTGTCTCCGCATAGAGGGGAGACTCGGTTAGACTACTGAAAGGCTGAATCAGAGCCTTGCGCGTAGTGAACAGCATTAGTACCACTGTTTAACTCTTTAACTCGCACCCCCATTTAAGCATCTGAGCAAATAATTATTTTCTAAAAGCACGACTGAAGCGACTGGGAGGTAATACTGCTCGCAACATCTTGGATCATAGTTTTCCTTTTTCATTAGCATGGCAGAGGCGCGCTAAATCAACACAATCTACAGAGCGCCGAACGCATTGTATTTTCACTTGAAATATCGCCTCGCTAGCAAAAATCCTGTAAAAATTGATTACGCACTGAAATTTTGTCGTCTAGAAACCGAAGTTCGACCCGTCTGCCTTGCAACTCCTCCATTGCTTGTGCAGTTGATGAACAGTACGTGATACCCAAATCTGAAACTCTGTGAAGTACTATGTAAACAACAAAAAAAAATACACGGCACCGAAACAAATGAAATGATAAATAGGATGCTGAAGAAGCAAAAGCGCTAAAATAATCTAGTGTAACCATTATCTGAACTTCGTCTGGGCTCTTCTTTTTTCAGCCTGCCACGTGGTCCTTTACTCTTGGTGCTACAGCTCGCAGTCTCATACTTGTGTAATTATAACATGGCAAAGATACAGCATTACCGATGTGCCAACGGCAAAACAATACAAACGGAAATATGGCAACAGGGTGAATAAGTGAGGGTAAGATAATACGTAAGAGATCCTTAGAAACGGTAGATAGTTTTGTCCCATGCTAGTGGAGTAATAAGATGCGTAAGTGTAACACAAAATACAGCAATAATAGCACAGGAAGCTGACATATGACAAGACACATGTGAAGTTGTAATAACAGTAGAGTGATGTTAACATATTAGAAGAAGCATGTGGGTTTACAATAAGGTAGGAATATGAAAATATAACTCACTAGAGATGATTTCAGGATTTTGTCTCATGTAAAGCATGAAAAGCTGCTCTTCTTCGGAATACGAATGGTCAGTGATTCCTTCCAAAGTGTACTTCGGCTCGTCATGAAAACCTACACGAACGTACCGTTATCTACTGTTTGAGCAGCTTTCCTCACATATGATGTTATCCTCTTAATACCGAATGAGGCGAAGCTTTCTTGTTTTTTTTTTCGCATTGATGGAGTGATGCCTTTATTATTCTCCAGAACCCAGAGCACTTTCTACATCTCTCATACCTATGGTTGTAGCATTTGTCATCTGCCACGAACTCCAAAAGCAGAGTGTGAAGACTATACACCATGTAAATTTTAAAAAATCATGCAAAGTGAGCCTAATTCCTAAACTTCGCCCAGATCACAGATTTTACGGCACAAGGTGGTGCCTACATTAAGAGATTGGGGTTAAACTGTGTCATGAGGGTGTTCACGGTGATCCAACCGCAGACAAGATCCTCCAAGGGTGAGAAGGTTTTCAATATCTCTATTCAGCTAAATGTATGCCTATGCCAGAGCAGAGGTCAGGATCCAACGTGGCCTAGGGAATAAAAGACGTTTTGCAAAATTGTATAGCTTGTCATGAATTTTGGGCCAACAGAGCCCAGGGCAGGTTTCATGACCTTAGAGATTAGAGGAATCTTTATTGGTAACTGTTAAGGTCGCTCAATAATTAACGAAAGTAACGAATCTTTTTTTTCAGCCTTACTTCCAGTGTTCTCATTGCTGAGAATGAGCTAACCTACACTGTGGTATTCTCTGTGTTTTTCACTGCTTTGCTTTAGCAATTAAGCTAACGCAGCGTCAGCGAGAGAATCCCGTCAAAATACTTCTTGAAACTAACTAGAATTTATTAGAATTAATTAGAACTTCGCTGATTTAGAACACGACGATTTTGGACGCGAGAATTTTTAACCAATCGAAATTAGAACTTACCCTTAGAGGAAACAATGTGCGATCGATTTTCATTGTCATCAAAAAAGATCCCATCCTTCTGAAGCTAAAGAGTTTGTTTAAAGTAAATAAACAAAATGAAAGAGCGGAAAAAACACCTTAGGCTTTACTGAGTGTGATGAGGCCCGACGAGGTATCATTCCGTCAAACGAGTGTTTTTTCAACAACTCTGTTGTACGTGAACAGGCATCAGAAATCTTGAGTCCTGAGGACTATATAATTAACAGGATGAGGAAATGACCATATTGATGGATATCATCTTCTACCTTAGCTATTCTGTACTTCTACGACCATTTCTAACTATTATCGAAACGCAAAATGTGCTTGACAGATGGAAAAAATCGAAGAAACAGTTGCAATTTTACGTTTATATGCAAAAGAAAAAAAAAGTGAAAAGAAGCCACAGTCACTCCGACGTATTAGCAGAGAGGATCCGATAAAAAAGCGAGCAACAAAGGCGATTCTCACCCCTGCTTGGCTCAACTTCTCCTTGCGTTTCAAATCGTTCTCGCGTTTTTGCTATGTTCGCAATGGATTCCTTGCTGATCGATTGACGAATTTTCCTGCGGTCATACCTAAAGGAGTTTGTCTAGAGAGGATTTGAAGAATTCTGCAGAAGAGTAGGAATCTGTGGTCTACAAAACATGTGGTAAAAATGCAAATAACTATCCCGAAGCCAAGGGTGCGTGTGGGCAGTGGTCGGAGGCGCCCTGCAACACACGTGGAATCGGTCCCAGCACCCTTGGCCCACAAAGCCTTCCATCCCTCCGCAGTCTATAAATTGGTGTCACGCTTGTCTGGAAGAATAGCAGCACTGGCTCGATACATCGGTAGGCCATCGCGAGTTATTGTAAAGGTTAGATGTGCATTCAATCACCTCTAACGATGCTTCATGAAGTCGAATGCATGGCGCATCCCTCAGGGAATGATCAACTCCGAGAGCTTTATTGTTTATCCCTTATCCCGAAACCACGACTAGTTTTCCCCGAACGCTGATCTTTGTGCTTGTTGAAGCATCCTAATATTTTTTACTTTGCTCTTGAAAGCTTGCCTTTATTAAGCACATTAAAGATATAATTGCATCATTGCGTGAAAAATAAACAAACCTATAAAATTTGTTTTCAAGAATGAGCAAAGATTTTCCAAACACGACTTTAATAGTTACTAATTTTCCTAACGAATTTTGGAATTCTTTAAAGAAAGGATTCTTCCCGAGATTTTTTAATGTTTTGCTTTTGAGCCACTTTAACTCACCATGGATGTACGTTCAGCTGAATAGTCAAGGAATCCAGACTTTTGCCCTTATGCAATCGCCGAGAAGGCTCGACTTGTTGATGCATGTACGCCTGAAGTTATAAATATTCTACGCTATTTTCAAAAATCCGGCTTTAATCTTATCTTAGCAAAAAGAAGAATAGCAAAGCCGAGCTAAATTATGCTGAGATATGAGCAAAACACTGAACCTCAGATGATGTTTGAATCATCGATTACCCTTTCCTGGGCTCAATGTTATCTACGGCACCATCTTGTCCCTTACTTTGCGCCTTCTTCTCAACTAGTTTTTATCCTGACGGTGCCATTAGCAGTCACTCATCAACGGAAATGAATATTCAGTAATATAAAGAATAAACAATGTTTTGTTAGGCAATGGTAGGTAGGGCACGTAGGTACACAAGCACGGACGGTACAAAAGCACAATGGTGATGATTTTGAAGTGATGGTCCGGATCCTAGCCAGAAATCAAAAACACCCAACGTGCGAGACTCTTGAGGAGTTTTGGTTAAATTTCGAAAGCCCACAAATGAACTAAAAAGACAAATGCCTCACTATTATCACACGTGAACTGGGGCCTTATTTCACAATGATTTTCTGACATGGGTGGGTCTCACTCATCATCCCACGTGAACAACGCGCGGGTGATCTCACACGTGACAAAACGATGAGTAGTTTTTGAAGCAAATGACGTTCATTTATACTTTAGATCTTCGTTAATACTATGGATTTTTCGCCGAATCATAAGACTATTACTACATTGAATAAGTCCAGTTTCTGAACAAACGAAGTTGTCGAAACGTCAGCCATTGATGAACAATAGCAACAAAGACGACAGCCTATACCGACCTCACACCAGCCCAACAAGGGCAGTTCGTAAGATCATATATATATATATATATATATATATATATATATATATATGATCTTACGTGTATATATATATATATATTGATTTCATATGCTGAAGTTTATAGAAAGTCGCTCTATTGAATATTTCGTTCTATTCGCGAGTTTACACGAAGCTGTTGTAAAATTTTTATTCAGCTAACGTTTGGCACTTCCCTTCATTTCGCACGTATTTTCTATGCAACACTTTTATTTGAAGTCGCCTGTATCACCTGCATTCTAGGATCCATTAAGGTCTAAACTGTTCAAAACACAATAGATCGGATCTCTGTGTATCAGAATCCGTCGCGTTTAGACTCTGATACGTAGAGATCCGATTTATTGCCTTCTGAACAATTTGGACCACCTGTAGCCCCGTGGATCGTCGAGTGACTCGAACGGGCGGCAGTAAATTTTCCATTTTTCCCTGTCGCGTGCATGAGCAGCCCAGTGGGTCCTGCTCGCTCTAGGGATTCGTCGAGCATCATACCTTTCTTCTAGACTCTTTGTGAAGAACTCTGACTATCGAGTCGGCGGTTTCCTGCAGTGCGTTTGACATCCCAAAGAATCCAGTCGTTAACGGCTTTTGCCCATCGGTTGTCATACGCATTACGTGTTCGGCCTACCTTACCTTCGACTGTTTGGCGTACGGAACGGCACCTTTGGTTTTTGATCGTTGACGCAGGTCGGAGCTTTTTTGAAGTCAGTGACCAAAATTAGAACTTTCAAGGCATCGACAGCAAAATTTAAGTTTTTCAAAAAATCCAACAGAAGAACGGCAGTTCCAAACATAAATGACACGTTGAGAAACAACATTGCAAAACAACTTGAAATACATCGATCAATACGGACTAATTGCACAGTTGCACATTCGTGACTATTTCAAAGAGAGGTCGTAAAAGCGAAGAACCAACCTTGTCAATCTGTGCAATTCGCTCGGTTTCTCTCATTTTTTGCAGTCTTTCTTCGGGAACGGTACTGTCCGGGGGAATCTCAACGTTATTCGATGCGACCAGAGATGCTGAAAGTGCGTCCGTCGACCGCCATCGCGGAAAGCCGTATGCTTTCTCTGGTACAGAGGGCTTTGTTCTTTTCTCAAATAGAAAAAACAATAAACAAGAAAGAAACTGCATGCAGTCACATGCTTGAGAATAGTACAGGCTGTCGCGAAAGTCGAGAATGTATACAATCAAAGCGTTCTAAGGTGACGGCCTGAGTCTCAGTTCATTAGAAAAACTTACTTTATCGCTTTGATGCTCAGCTGTATGAGACTGCCAAAAGTTACGGATGTTTGATGAAGCTGCGCACATCACCAGTTCATCTCAGAGAATTTGTCGTTTGTCGAAATACAGCAGGTTCAACCCTACAAAGCACGTTTGAGCTCAGCTTAGACTTTAAGGTTAGATTCCCAACGAAACAGACGAGTACTCTCTTGAAAACTTAACTAGTAAAGAGTTCTTATTGCGAAAATTTTTTAACCTTAAAACGTTAATTTTTGTTAGAGCACAGAAAACACTTTGAGGAAAACAAACATACATAATTGAAAAAGAGCGATATGAAAAGCGGTGAAGTTTCCAGTCATTGCAGTGTACGACATTCGAGTTGTGGTTCTGAGTTTGACGCCAACGTTGTGTGGAGGGAAGGAGAAAAGGCTAACATCTACATGGACAAATAAGTGCCCCACAAATTGGAAATTTAATGGGAATCTTTAAAAAAATCACTAAGGGAAATGAGCAAAGCTCCCAAGAGCAACCGACATCTAAATAACATTAACCTCAAAACCATCTCCCAATCGTTTGAATTTTCGCTGTCCGCTCTTCTGTTCCTCAAGTTTTCCTGCCTTCAGTTCCTCTTAGCACATGAGTTGAACATCCACGCTTCGCCTTCGACGTATACTTTGTTTTAATCGCGAAGTTCCAGTAGCTCCATATTTAACACTTGACGACAAACTGGAGCTCCATGGTCGACGACCGGCAGATAATGTTCATGATTACAAACAATGTGATTTCAGTACATAAGCAATGAAACCACAAGTGAACACCTGGAGATGGAACCAATCAAAGGGGTGATTTGAGACTTGTAGATAAATGAGCCAAAGCCTTCAATCGAATGAAAAAATGCTTAGGGAGCTTGGGAAGGAAAAAGTACTGGATTTAAAAACATACTAGTGCCTAAGAAGTCCACAAAAACCATCATTATCACAACAGTTTTTAATTATCACGACGATTTCAGGAACATTGCAGGAGTACTTTGGAAGAATTTTTCCTATGTCAAAGGCTTATTATGTTAGGATACATTGTGCAATATTCCAAGTGTACTCCCTAAAGAAAGGAGACGGTTAGGGAAACTGAAAACACGAATACCAAAGAAGAAACTCTGCTGAGATATATTCTTGTTGAGCAAACGCGAGGTGTTACATTATTCGTTACTCCGTCAAAGCTGGCATTTCGGCAGTATCGCCTTCTTTAGAGCGCGGAAGGGTATAGTATGGTCTTCTTTAATGGAAGACGAGTAAAAACGGTGGGCTTTTTGAGAAGCTGTTGACCATGTGATTGCCATATAGATTTCTATCGTTTTGTATGTGGTGTTAGAGCGTTTGACATAGTAAATTGTCTATCAGTATACCATTACAGGCTTTGAAGAAGGCGATACTGCAGAAACGTCAGCCTCAACGGAATAAAGAATAAAGTAACACCTCGTGTTTGCTCAACAAAAATATCGAGAACTACTTGATCAATGTCGAGCTTAATAGAAAGTCGATCATAGAAATTATTACAAGACTCTACTGAATATTTAAGAAGGCGTGAAGCGCAGTGGTAGTGATGCTATTAGTCATGAGTACGGTTCGGGACCGAACGGTCCCGTGCTGATAAAGCCCCTCACCTCTTTCAGGTCGGGAGACTGGTGCTAGATTTGTCTCGCAACACTTCATTTTCTGGATTCCGGAAGGAAGGGGAATGCTCCAACCCGGTAACCTTAGAAGACCAGAAACCATCGATTCGAACAGCATTCCACGACATGGAAGATGAAGTGAAAATCCTCAAGCGCTAGCCCAAGCCATATGTAAAAGTTAGAAGACCTTTGTGAATGATGGATGCAAGGAAAGGAACGGAATGAAGGAAGTGCTGGGATCCCCGCAGTTGATGTGAATTCAGGTCAAGTGTATGAAAAGAAAAACCGTGGTGTATTATAAATGTCTATTCAGGCAACAACACACACGTTTTCTCCATTAACATTAGTCGCGTAGTGGTCGAACTACTTGTGAATTGTCCAGAGCACTTGGTTGCAACCACTGCACCATTGATAAACACCGCCCTACCCTTTGCCTCCGCGGAATAATGGACCGCACACTAGATAACGGAAGTCAACCAATCTATTCGGGTGTTTTATTCTGCATTCACTGGCACTGTACCCTCAGCAGATTCTATACATTGCGCCAAAGTGCGACGAACCGACGGATAGTTTTTGTTTGCGTTGTTTCCCTGGAAGTCCTAATGGGAAACCCCTCGAACCGGTATGAACGTCTACGCGAATCAGAGTTTCCGGCTTGCAACTATTGTGAGAGACAAGTTGCCGAAGCTTATTCAGCTACTTCACTTGGAGCTCTGGTGTTTGATCATGATGCCGATCATACTACAGGTTAAAATGAAGCCTTTGTGAAATAGACTCCGGAAACAAGCACAAAGACGCAGAAGCTCTGCAGTGATTCTTTGCCGACTCATTGTAACTGCAACTGAAGAGTACATTATGAAAAAAAGATGTAAAAAGCGTCCGAATATACGGAGGTCATTTGAAGATAGATACCAGAAACATCTCTGTAATCTTGAAGTTAAGAAAAATATCTAAGGGAGCATCACCCCTCGTTCATTTTCATTGACGAACACAACCAACCTCAGGTGTACGCTGTCATCTCGCATTCTTCCTACTTACAACTATCTAAGTAGAAAATTCTGAATAAAAAATTCTTGTAGGAAAAAACTCCCAAGAAAAGAAATGTTTATGACGGAATAATTTTTCGAAAAATCAAACATACGCGGAATTTTCGTTTTGAACTCTGTGTAGGTTCGAGTCTTGACCTTTTCTCACATTTCAATGCCCCCGTCTCTCATAAAACCTAAAGAAGAAAACTCTTCACTCAATAACGCGATGAAAAGAATTCCTAGTATTCGATTAAAACTTTCTTTTAAAGTGGCTCCAGAAGAAAAAATAAAGGAGAAATTAGACAAAGCCTATGAAAAATGCCATCAATTGTTAAGTAGTCTACCGTGGCAAAAACAGAGAATTCGATCAAATTTGTGAGGAACCAGATTTTCAATAAACTGCTGTAAGGTGTAGAGGATTGAATTTCCACTAACAAGTGTAAAACACTACAGAAAATTGAAGGCAAAACTCAATAAATCAATAATCAATAAACTTCAGAAGTTTGCAAGCGTTCGAAGACAAACAACCGCCGCACTCGTGAAGGGCTTCTGGCAAAATCAACACTAGGACCGCTCAAACAGGTAGAGGGTGTGGGAGAGCCCACGAGCCAGTTCTGAAGTACTACATATGCGAGTTGACCTAAATATCGTCGTTATCACAACTACAACTCTAGTCTAGAAACCGACCCTTATTTAACCCCCACCTAAGTATTCAATACCTTCTTGTATTACCGAGCTGACAGGAGATTAGTATAAGATATTTATTCGGTCAACGTGCCTACGTTTTCTTCCTCTTCAATCTTACAGATGTATTACTGCGATACGTACCAGCTAGTATACCACCGACATCTGCCGGATGAGGATGACTTCTGCAGGAAAGAGCAGATCATAGTGCATAGCAGCAATAGACCAACATCTGTTCTGTACAAAAAAAGCCGTAGGGTGAGATTCTTCATTCAATCGATGCTCCACTTCATTGAGTTAGATTCGGTGCAACCAACAGCCACATCGTGATGGCGACCACTTGTCGATCATTGAGTCGGAGCGATTCTGCTCTAATGAAGACAAAGACGTCGAAAAGTTAGCCGAAGAAATATGTCATATCAACCTATTGCCAGCTCAATACTCTAAAAAGGTATTAAAACTCAAATGTGCCGTGTAATTTTTAAACTGATTACGACAATAAAGTTTTTACTAGAATATTTCCGTCTTAAGTGTTTAATTTCGATTTGATTAGGAAGTGAGTTATACAGAGGAAATTGGAGAGCCTCAGAGGTAGAACTGGGGAAATTTATGGTGATAAATATTCAGTTTGTAGAATTTGAAGTCTAGAAAAATTGGTGAACAACATGAAACTGAAAACCTGTCGTCAGATGTTCACCGTATAAAACTTCCTTGTGTTTTCTTGAAGTCTCTGATTTCTCTTCAAAAGTTTCATCGGTGTGGAAATCCTAAATGACATCGTTCCCATTGTAAATCTCTGTGAAACAAAGCAATAATAAATATTCTAGGTGGCATTGAGAATGCAAGGAGTCTACACAATGGTCGAATCTACAGAGGCTCTCCTTAGGTCCTTTTCTCAAAGGTTGTCGAAAGTTATAAAAATCGCGAAAACTTTTTGAGCGCCTGGCTAATAACTTGTTTGTCGTGGCTACTGTTTCATTTGTTATTCCTGGATTTTCTTTTCCCTTGTGGCATCGCATCTCTAATGTACCTCACAGTCATCGATGTTATCACTCACTCCGTCCCCCTTTCTCTCTTCCTCATACAAGTGACACTCAGAATTAACTACAGCGAGTTCCTTACTACTCTCACTCCTTTCGACTAAGGCCACTGGAATCAGTTACGGTGTCGGTATGCAACAAACATTTCAATTTTTAACACAGCCAGTTAAGCAAAGCAGTTATGTATATATATTCGAAAGCCCAGGTAGGAGTGAAACAATGTGGGAAATCGATGCCATCGTGACTGACAGCATAACCACTAACTAGCTGGAAAATGCTGACAGCCTAGGAGTGGCCCAGCGCTGCTCCCAGACTCCAAGGAAAGGAAATCCTGCGAGGACAGAAAATTGATGTTTAACTGAAAATTGTATTGGGAACGATTTTTTGTAGTTTCTAAGAACAAAAAAATCCAACCATTCAAGAGTCGATCATGGTATAAATGCACGTATCAATTACGCTGCCACGACCACAGGTGGTGTCGTGCTTTTTACAAACTTTTCGCTGCATTTTTACTCGAACAAGTCGGCTAAATGGTCTGAATTGCTTTCTTTCTATTACATTATCTTTTTTTAATATGGCGAAATCTCGCTCATGAAGTACTTTAATTGAGGCCTCTGCGAAAAAAAAACAGTAAATGAATGCATTTATGACACATGAAGAGGGCTA